GGGGGGGGAGGGGAAGGAAGAAGGAGAAAAAAATATAAAAAGAGCCTCAGCTACTGTATAGGGTACTATAGCAATAACAAATTTTAAAAATTCCTTTACGTCCTTTTCGTTTTTAGACCTTTGCTCCTTCGTTACAACTAGGAATTGGGTGTGTCGCATGTCTAAGAAATCATATCGTCGAGCTTTACGCAATGGTGCCACTTAATCCCCCAAAATCTTTCCTGAACAGAAAGTGACTAAAGTGCCCCTACACCGAAGGGCAAAAATGTAATTTCACAATTAAATAATTAAATAAACCCTTAAATTGGGTCGGGATGTTACAGTGGTGGTCTCAACCTCGGATTTCTAGAACCTGGGGGCGCAAAACAAAAAAAACCAATTACGTGATCCAGCATCTACTGCATTTTTTTTCATTACCAAGTTGGAATGACAATTAAAAACTTGAGTAATTAAAATAAAATTAAAAGAAAAAAGAAACAAAGTGATAAATTTACCAATGACTTATCGACTGTGGCAATGTTGTATGTTTGGATGTTTGATTTATTAATGTTTTCAAATAGTTCATTATTTCTTGCCTCTAATTACATTTTTTTTGTTTATAATTTGAATTATCTAGCGGAAAAAAAATCAAGTGAAAAAATTTCAAATTAAATGGGTTGGTTCTTGGGCCTAAGTAAGGCCCGAGCTCGATCCGACCCGTTTCAATGTGGACTTGGACTTTGGGTCAGGCTGAGATCAATGGTTTTACTAAATGGGACAGCACGACATGGCCCGATAAATTAAATGGGCCGAATCGGCCCAGCACGAATAAGTTAAAGACACAAGTTTAAATGGGCCGGCCCGACCCGTTTGACACCTCTAATCGTGACGTGATTTCCTTTGATGACATATCTGGAAAAAGGCGGTGGCATACAAATTTGGATACGGGATTATTGTGATCGAACAAATAAGAGTGTAGGGTTTACAAAATGTACTAGTGTTTTCATTTGCATCATCCACATCTAGGGGTGAGGCCCTAATGTTATTTTTCAGTCACTCCTATACCTGGTATTCTACTTGCCTTACAAAGTATTATTCCCCATAAATACGTAGAAATGTTTCCCATAATTTTTGGATATTTCCTACATTTTGAATGAATTTTGCAAAACAAATTGAATAAAGTAATTTGAAAATGCCACATGTTTGCCCTGGAGTAGGGAGCTGCAAACTTCAGCGACACGCATCGCATTCCTAGGTCGCCACACTCCACCTAACCTTATTTTTTTTATTGAGATTTTCTATTTAAACCTCGTACTTCTCTTTGTTCATCCCAATACTTAAATCATTAAGCTGTAAGTTTTATTATTGTGTAAAAAGACAAAAAAAGGTCATCCAACTTAATAATTAACCCTAGTACATCTATACACACACCCCACACCCCACACACCCCACCACTCTTCATTATCAAGTTTTAGAAAAATACAAACTCCTCTACATCTTATTGCCCGATTACTCTTCTCTTTTAAAGACATAGAAAATTGACGAGCCTACCTCTTTAAATATGCATGGGAGTTGATGGAAAGGCTTGTTGATTATCAACTCAACAATACCCAAGTGTTGGAATTCCAGTTACAGTTTTTGAAGAGAGGTAAAGTTTTTTTTTTTTTTTGGTCTAAACCATGAGGTGGTCCTGGATGGGCCCCAACTATGGGTGGCACCTTTAAGCCTTAACCACAACCCAGACTAATCCCCACTCACACCGGGTCGGCCCGTAAGGGGCCAAGTGTTGGCCAAAGTGGTGACTCCGTACGAGAGTAGGGATCGAACCCCTGACCTCTCTTAAGGAATGAGAGTGCCGAACCACTCACACCAACCACCTTGGTTAGGTAAAGTTGTTTTCTTTCTTTAGAAAGTATTAAATTTCGGGTTTAGGGTTATATTTGTTTGTGTTTTTTTTGCTGGGAACAAAGAAAATTGTGGGGTTTAAATAGAAAATCTCTTTTATTTCTTATTTTTTCAGTTTGGGGTGTATTTAAAGGTAATTTAGGAAGATAGTGGGGTTTTCTTAGAAATTGTGAAAATTTAAATTAAAAGATGGGTGAACTAAGAGAAGTGTGGGGTTTAAATAGAAAATCTCTTTTTATTTGTTTGCACTTAAACATTGATTTAAAAATCGAATTTAAGGGTTTAGGGTTTGGGCGCCTAACGTTTATTGTGTAGGGTTTAGGGTGAAAAATATAAAAAAATTCCCTACAATAATGCTCTTTTTTCCATCTCATGGATTAAGGTTAAAAATTAAAAAATTCCTCCACAAATGGTATTTCCCGCTCATGGAATGTTATGACCAAAAAATGCCCTCAAATTGCAATTCAAAGTTCAAACTCCATATTATTTGGATCGAAAATTAAAATACAATTCCTTTTCAGAATTGAAAGAAAATAATCTGGGGGTTTTTAGCAAATATTTGGAAGGGTTGAATTCTTTTGTTTTGTTCATTTTCACGTATGGGCAAAGCAATGTCGATTTCTTTAACAAACACTGAAGCATAGAGGTGTCGGCACTGCAATGCTGAGATGGCGATGCTAATTTCCAAAAGGAATCTGGGCAGACTGTATTGGAAGTGCTTCGCAACATATGTAATTATCATCTTCCCAAAACTCTTGTATGTAAACCTAATAAGCTATATGTAATCAACACTAATCGAGGTTGGGCATTGCTTAAGACAAAGAAAACTGCTCCAGACGAAAATGAGATTTTCTCTGCTAACTGGCTCCTTCTCTCTTTCTCTAGATGGGGTAGAGTGTTAAATTAGCCGTTAGCAGACCATTCTCAGTGTTCAAATAGATTATGAACTCTTACATTGTAATCCCAAACTGAAAAATGTAATTTATTACGTTTTTTTAGGGAGCTATAAGGTGTAATGGCTATGAATGGGTGACTGCAGCCAACATGCCAACTGACTCTCACATTCAAAACCAACTGGTTGCATCCACAAGCCAACCAAACAACACAAAAACAAAAAGAAACAACACCTACGCCTCCCAAACTAACAAGGAAAAACAAACCCCAATAACAAAATACAACACACACCAAAGCCATCATTTAACTGCAGTTGCCATATCCCTCATTATTGTGGAGTAATAGTAGTCTTTAAAATCTTTTGTAACATAAGCCTAAAAAGCTGCCCAGAACTTAACTCTATCCCAAAGCTCACTCACTCTCACTCCCTCATAGTTTTCAAAGATTCTCCCATTACGCTCCATCCAGATGTTCCAGAAAACAGAGTGGACCAAACAACCCCAAAAGGTTGAAGCACGCTTTCCCAATCCCCAAACCACATAGTCATAACAAAGAAAATCAAAGCACCCTTTAGGAATCACCCAAGCAGTTCCAACCTCCTCCACAAGTTCCACAAGTTCCGCACTCTCCTCACAATGCTTACATAGCACACACCAGTGAGGAGACAGATACATAAAGGGTCTTCTCCTTTGGACAAGATCCAAAGTGTTTACTTTCCCAAGCGCTACCAACCAAGCAAGGACTTTAACCTTAGGAGGAGACTTGGCCTTTCACACAAGAGAAAAAGGAAGAAAGGTCTATGCCCTCCCCTTGTTGCGCAAAAAGGACTGAAAAGACTTACATGAGAATGAACCAGAATCCTCAAGATCCCACCTTCTCCTATCCCTTTTAGTAGCACACAATCTGATACCTTCCAGAATTTCCAACAACTTGATGACCTCAGTTGTCTCCCTTTCATACAGATTCCTCCTAAAACCAAAGCCCCAGTTATGAGGTAAGACCTAAATATCCATAAAACAAGCAATGCATAAGGCATGCTTTGAAGATTGCGCAAACAATTGTGGAAAAATGTCCTTCAACACCCCCTCCCTCACCTAAATATCCTCCTAAAATCTAACCCTATTCTCATCTCCCACCTCGAACCTGCAACACTGTAAAAAAGTTTGATATCCCGCAGAAATATCCTTCCAAGGGTTAAGAGAGGATGGCGTAGTAGCGGGATTAACATCCCACCCAGTAGTAGCATATCCATACTTAATTTTAACCACCAAGGCCCATAGGGAATTAGGTTCCATAGGGAACAGCCATAACCATTTAGCACGTAAAGCTTCATTCTTTTCCTTCAAAGAACCCACTCCAAGCCCTCCTTCCTCCTTAGAATTAGCCACTTGCTCCCAACTAACCAAATGATCCATTTTCCCTTCCTCCACTCATTCCCATAAAAAGGATCTCAAAAGCTTCTCCATTTTGTTAATAACACTGGCCGACATTTTAAACAGACATATAATAGGAATGGATACTACTTAGCACTGCTTGAATCAAAGTTAACCTACCACTTCTAGAAAGAAACGCTCTTTTCCACTTTTGAAGTCTCATTTGAATCTTCTCCAGCACAGTGTCCCAAAAACCAATTGCTCTGGGATTACCACTGAGGGGGAGACCTAAATACTTTATAGGCCAATCCCCCATCGCACACCCCCAACCACCAGCTAGGCGATTGAGGTAAGAAGAGCTGCAACAAATACCCACGAGAGAACACTTAGATTTATTAATTTTCATGTCGGAGACAAGGCAAAAAAGGTCCAATAAGTCCAAAAAATTAAACCAGTATTACTCCTTAACCCCGAGAAGAAAAATAGTATCATCAGCAAATTGGAGATGAGAAACCTCCACTTTGTCCCTTCTAATAAACAGACCATGAAGCAAGTTATACTCTTGAGCCTTCTCCATGAGCCTACTCAAAACATCAATAACTAAACTGAACAAGAAGGGGGATAACAGATCCCCTTGTCTCACCCCTCTAGTCGTCTTAAATTTACCCTTGGATAGCCCATTGATCATGACGGAAAAATTGACAGATTGTAAACAGCCCCTTGTCCAACTTCTCTATCTCCCATCGAAACCCTTTCTTACCATTACATCATCGACCACTCTCCATTCTACATGATCATATGCGTGATCAAAATCAATCTTAAAGACCAATCTCGACTTATTCAGCTTCATGGCATCCTGGACAGCCTCATTAGCTACTAAAACAACATCCAAAATTTGCCTATTTTTCACGAAAGCTCCTTGATTAGCATGAGTTGTTTCACCCAACACCTCTTTCAGTCTTGTTGCTGGAACTTTAGACACCGCCTTATATAAGCTCGTCACCAAACTTTTTGGCCTATAATCCTTAAGCTTGACAGAATCTTTCTTTTTGAGGATCAGACATATTAAGGTTTCATTAGTAACTGCATTAATAATCCCTGAATTATAGAAGTCCTCCATTACCTTCATGAGATTGCCCTTGACAATATCCCAGCAGGATTGAAAGAAAAATAAAGTGAACCCATCAGCACTGTTGTGTAGATACAACTGCACCAAAATGGATTCAGCTGCATCCTCAACTTGTGATACTCGCAAGTGCACGA